GTCATGAAGGTCTAGAACCTGAAAGGGCAGATGATTTCATCAAACAAGGCTAGGAAAAAAAGTCGCAGTGCAAGAATGAAAGGTCATGAATTATCTAGCAAAGAAAATTACTTCCCTTCCAATGGGGCTTTGAAAAGCTGCTTAAGTTTTCAAGGAGACGTAGGCACTTAATTCTTCCAGGTCGTTTGAAAACTCAAGCCTCTACACATCAACAAACAAACAATATACTAGGGAGAGCAGTGACACCAAGGGAGCTGTTCCCAAAACTGGATAAATCATCTCCATGGAGCCAGCGTGGCAGAAAACGACATTTTCTGCAGGATCAGTGAGCTGAACTGCTCCATGGAAGCTGAACTGCCCAAACACCAGCGCTGACACAGGGAGAGGGCAGGACTATGCCTGAAGACCTCCCTCCATGGGGAGAAGTGAGCTGCTGGAATGACTCTGCCTCTTGCGGAACCGCAGCATGAGGGTGGTGGAGCTGAAAGCTCTCAGCATTTATAGGACAGGTACGGTGATGCAGCCCCTTCACCAGTTTCACTCACGTTCAAATGACCCCCTGGCGCAGAAGAGAGATGGATCTACCCTACAACACACTCAGCCCTGACTGACCACCATCGTGAGAGCCTGTTGAGGGGGGAAGTGTCGGACTATGAAAAGGATAAATGAGTCCTGGGACTGACTATGATTTTACACAAACCACTCCGTGACCGCTGTCTACCTGGGAGGTAAACCTAGGAAAGGCAGGTTTCACACCTTGTTACCAGTTCTTGGCAAAGACAGTCAGACAGAAGGGATTTATTTGGGCTAGCGTGTTTTAATACAGCTAGAATGCAAGGAAAATAGGCTGCAAATTAACTGCTAAGAATCACAATTACCTTCACAGTTATGAGACTCAAGAGGCTGCAAGACTTTGGAACTAAAGATGTCAGATTATTCGTATGAATAATCAGCACCTGGTGAAGAAAAATCCCATTGAAACATGAACACAAGAGACACTGCTGTGTAGAACAAGTGCATTTGTTGAGATTTAATTGCGGAGGCTGTACAAGAGCTCAATATCTTACTCAGTATCGTATAAAATATTAAAATAGTAAATGGATTTTCATAGAAAGTCAAATATTTAACAGGAGATCAAAACAAGAGTCTAGTTTCTTACATGAGAAATATCATTCAATAGGCTGAAACAGAAACAACCAGCGCATCTTTCATGACAGAAGTTAGCTCTCAAGCACGCAGACACAATTAGTCCTACCCAAACTGCTCTCTATGTAGTATCATACAACTGGCCAAACTCATTACAAGCAAACTTGTTCTGAAGGAACATATAAACATCCGGACGGTCATTTCAAACACAACAATAATACTCAAGCATAATAACAGAACAATCTGATATAGAATTTCTGATTGCAACATTACCTTTTTTTGCAAGACTTTACAAGTTGCAAAGGCCCCATAAGGAACCTAAAACCAAAAAATAGTCATGTCAGATGTCTCAAGATATTACCTTTGTAAGCACTTCTACGGTATGCACCTGTAAAGTATGAATAACCAACTTTAATGAAAACACAAGTGATAATTAAAATTACCAGCCCCTGGTTTTGGCCAACACTTCCCAGTTAGCTTCCAATTAAACAGCCTGCAATGGCTCGCCACAGCATGATGGTGTCGTTCATAGCACAGAACGGACTGAGGTTCAGGCAGAAGTTCATGTCTCGAGTGATTTAATATTCAGCATGCAGATTACTCAAGAGTTCAGGCAGATTTTCAGTTAGTCATCATACAAATTACGGTTTTGCAACCTGGGCAAACACGCTGCAGTGGGCTAAATGAGAAAGGTGAGCAACAGGCAGGACTGAGTGTCCTCGTGTGTGCTAGACTCTGCAGAATAGGGGCAGTCAGAAAAGGGATGTGCCAGCAAATTCAGCCCATCCCAGCCAGGGCTGAGCACCACGACCTGCTCTACAGCATGGAACCCGCATCAGCCAAACTCTTGTCCGCAGTTGATTTTAAGACCAAACTGATGGCTCACTTTATTTATTGAAACAACAAAGGCTAAAAAGAAAAAGCAAGACAAGAGTTTTATAGTATCGATCCAAAAGGAGCAGCTGGGGATCCAAGACCAGCTGTGGGTATGAATGGAGCTGGCTCAGTGCATCCTCTGTCTGCCACCCTTTTATCCAGACTGGCTCGCAGGCTGTCCCACACAGCGCGCAAACCCACACACAAGATGCTGTTGGCTTCCGATCTTGGAACAAAACATCCCAAAGTCTCAGCAAAGCCATTTCATACTGCACTGCAGACAGCTATCCTCTCCAGGACTGTCCCAATCCTCTCCCCACAGAGCAGAGCAATATCCATTGGTTCGTTTGGCAATGGCATCCTGTGACAAAAAGTTACACAGGTACCAACATTTTAGGAACATGAGACAATGAATAAAAACTGAAATTGAAATATAAACGGGCTTCCACTTAGCAGGATTGCCTGGCTGCCAGAATGAAAAGCTCTGTCTGCTCTGAGAGCCTGGCACTCTGTCACTAACCGCTCACACTCCAGCAGACAGCTTGTTTCTGATTTAGTTGGCTGCCATAAAGGAAGCCAAGCTGCAAGTGAGATTTCCATCCTTAACCAGCAGCCTGGATCCAGGGATTTTCACTTACACAGAAAAATAACCGCAGGTGGCAGACATTGTAGCTCTAAGACCAGAAACAGTCAGCCCTTGGCAAACAAATTCCCTTATGACTTGCAAAATTAGGCCATGAGGTCCCAAACTAGGGTCCTACCAAGGGGTACTGGTGGAGGGTATAAGGCCACTCTGCCCTTCCCACCTTGTCAAACGGAAAAGGATTCCCAGGACAGAAATGTTGTTGAAGCATCAGGTAGAACAGGCAATGTCCCACAAAAAAAAGGGGACGAAGGCTCTACCTGAAAGCCAGAGCTCAGCAGACATCGAAGGAAGTGGACCAGTAACAAGGCCATTTCTGTCTCAAGGCTCATAGACATGACACTAAATCTGACAGCTGGTAACGAGAAGCAGACGGAGGAATCGGACCTGTGAGCTAATACTGGAAGCTGCAGAGAACATACCTCTGAGAGCTCACATTTGGATATGTCAAGAACGTCATCAGCACCAGCTTCTTTCGCCTGGAGAGAGAAGATGCGCATCCAGAGAATCAGACCATGCAGAAACACATGACCTCTTGCTGCACATGGACTAAACCACTCGGCTGGCCCCTCCCTAGAAAGTGCAGCTACCATTCTCTGCTGCAGCGATGTAGTTCAGTGACGGCATTAAAGCAAAGGCTGCGCTGCTACAACTGCAGTAAGCAAAAGCAACTGGGAAACCAAACTGCAGAAAAACCCTGTTGATGCAATAAATGAATTTGCTCACGAAGAACCAAAGCACATCTTGATTCTGCAATTTTAACTGAAAGGATATGGAAAGGAAACGATGGGTTCTCACGAGAGGCAACCACAACTCAACAGCCGTGCCATCCTAGCCTGTAAAGTGCCTGCTGTGTCACTGGCACGTCTCACCCAGCAGACTGACCTTCTCCTGAACTGTACACAGAAACCAGAATAACCTACTACTGCCTTTTTGCTTCCATGGGGCCTGGCGGAGCCAGCTCTGCTGTGTAAGAAGGAGCAAGGACTGACTGTTGCTGTACAAAAGCTGCTTTCCATGTCCAAAGCAACTACATCCCGCGCAGCTGCTAACAGCAATGAAACTGGACAAGCCTCACCGTCAGCAGCCCTGCATCTCTGGAATTATTTTCTTTAAACAAAAGGTACTGCACAAGGCAATAAAACCTGCTGTGTCAGTGCCTCTGTTAAGTCTTCAGAACTGATATCTGACCCGAAACTAAGCACATGCAATATAGAACTAAGCCTAGAATGGACAGATTAAGCTATCCCTGCCCAGCCCCACAGGAGCTGAACAGAAACTCTCCAACTGAACAAATTCAGTAGAACTGCTTTCATTATTGGTACATAACAAAGCCTTCCTTTCCAAAACACCTTACAGGCATCCAACAGGCATGATTTTGTCACTTTTAAGATGCAGGTGCCTCTGGGGTAGAGCACAACAGATCCCCTATGCCAGCACTGGTCCACAGCTCCTACGGCGGAATAGGTGAAACGCTTCAAAAGAAGATTGCGTTCAGAAAGCCAACTTTAATCTGCGGCAGTTCTGCTGACCTCGCTGGCTTGACCGCAACTGCTGAGGATCTACCCCAGAGGATCCCAGCTAAATCTTCGTCTGGGAAAACAAACAGCAACATCTACCAAGTTAATCCTCTGAGTGATAGGAAGAAAATAAATAATAATGAGAAGCAGAAGAGGGGCAACAGGAAAGCCAGCTATGATAGGAAAGGGGATGTCACCGATTCCTCGGTAGGAAAAGCACACTGGGAGATCTGTGAGAGCAAAGGGGTGTGGAAGAGAAAGGAGGGATGGGGTCTGCAATGCAGGTGGGGTGGGGTGGAGGACGTTATGTGGAACCAGGGAGGCAGAGAGGGATGGAAGTGGCACGAAGGGGACCTGTGGATGGGAGGGCAAAGGGAGACAGGGAAAGCAGGAATTGTCTGATGTACATTAGGAAGACGAGCTGCTGTCTTGGTGAGATCAGTAAGACGATTACGCAGGGGAGGTACCAAGTCACCCAGCATTCAGGACTAGACACAGAGAACAGAAAAGACCTCAGCACTGCTTACCAGGCACATTTGGTATTCAAGGCGCTTTCGAGCATCGTCACTAGGTTTCTTCTTACGGAAGAAGAGCGGCATCTTCAGTTTTGACGATAGCTCCGTCCCAGTGGCACAAACGATCAGTGCAAATAAAGGCAGAGGGCTCCTGGAGCATGCGTTTGCTGGGGAGCCTGGACCACAGAACTGTGCTCTAAAGAGCGAGAGGAAAAAAAAAAGAAAAAAAGAAAAAAATCACTGCCTCGGCAATTGTCTTTGTTTCAGCCCTTCTGTGGCTCAGTGCAACAGGCAGATCCCAGCACACCTCCAAGGTGGAAGTGCTAACACAAGCCACAAAAGCGCTGCTGTGTCTCTGAGATGGGCTGTCTTGGTCATCCCTGTGCAAGATAAATTACATCAAGCTGGAACATGTGCAGAGAAAGGCTACTGAGTGAGCAGCAAAATGCAGGGTCCACTCTAGGATAGGAACTAAAAAAGCTGTAACTGTATCAAGAGACCCAGCACCAGGGACAAAACCGAAACTACTGAAACTCAAAGTCAGTTCTGGCACGGCCATAAGCAATCATAAAATGTTCTAGAATAAAGTTAGGCTAGACTCTGGTGCCTGTCTGGGGTCTCCATGATGCCCCGGGAAGCAGCTGGGACGGGCTGCATGGCATGCCGGAGGAGGTTCTGCTGCACTCGGTCATCATCAAGTCCCTTGCAAATAGTTACCTGTATTTCGAACTGCAATGGGGTCTTGTTTATTCTCACCTGCCCTGGAAGGGGAAGGCAGCTGTGTTGCTCTCAGGATTAGGAGTTTTTCACATTTCACAGAATCACAGGGGTTGGCAGGGACCTCTGTGGGTCACCCAGCCCAACCCCCTGCCCAAGCAGGGTCACCCAGAGCAGGCTGCACAGCACCGCATCCAGGCAGGGCTGGAATATCTCCAGAGAAGGAGACTCCACAGCCTCCCTGGGCAGCCTGGGCCAGGGCTCCGTCACCCTCAGAGGGAAGAAGTTCTTCCTCGGGTTCAGCTGGAGCTTCCTCTGCTCCAGTTTGTGCCCGTTGCCCCTTGTCCTGTTGCTGTGCACCACTGAAAAGAGTCTGGTCCCATCCTCTTGACACCCACCCTTGAGATATTTATAAACATTTATTAGGTCCCCTCTCAGCCTTTTCTTCTTCAGGCTGAACAAGCCCAGCTCCCTCAGCCTCTCCTCATAGGAGAGATGCTCCAGTCCCCTCATCA